GGGGTGATCGGGTGTAGTTCAGGTGTCGTAGTTATTTGATGGGCTGTGCTGCTGTGTTTCAGGCTCCTCACTCAAAGTGCTGGCGGACAGCGATCGCTACACCTGGATCGTCTTGTGAGGGACTGGTGGACAGACGGGATGGACAGATACACAGACAACATTGTGCACACTGAGACTCTCGCAGACAACACTATACGCTCACTGTACACACCGAGACTCACACAGACAACACTGTGCACAATGAGAACTTCACACACGGACAACACCTCTGGGAGCCTCTACCTCTGTTCCTGTACTACTGTCATTCCACACCACCTTGTTCCTGCTTGACTGCTGATCAGTGTAGATACCGAGGCCGGCTGTACCGTTACTCAAGTACTGTAGCAGCAGTTCATGTGAGCCGCTCACACAGTGGAGCGTAGAGGGGCCAGTGGTCACCCCCTGGTTGCCCGGCAGTCTGGGCAGATCTCTGCTCCCTGTGGGACTGGGGAAGAGGGACCAGTGCTGTGGGTCTCAGGAGGTTTGCTGGCTGAGCTCAGTATGAACACATTGAAAGACAGGCGCCATCAGCCACAGTTCCTCCGGTCGTGACACTCGGCCCCGTGATTCCAGGTGAATTCTTTTCTGTTGTCCTTCAGCTCGTACTCTCGTCTCCGTGCTGCCATTTTGGTATCTCGTCTTTTATTTGGTGCTGTTGCTGGTTCATTAGTTAAACTGACTGGATGGTGTAATTTTTATTTTTAAATTTGTATTAAAAGTGGATTCCTTTCAGACCGATCTGGGGTGTCGTGCTCTTCTCTTTTCTTAGCTGCTCTGATGAACGTGGGCGTTCTATTTTGGTGTCTGGATTAGTGTGCGGAGTCTTTTCTTTGGGATATTTGGATGTTTTGCTCAGATGTTGTTCTTTTCAGTTGGGTGCTCCAGCCAGTGCGGTGTCTGTCATTGTGGGATAGGAAGGTGGCGGCTGGGATTCTGGAATTATTCTACATAAAGCTGAGTGAGCAGGTGTAGAGGACTGGCGTCCTTTTTCTCTGCACACACGACTCGCACTCGCACGCTCATTCACACTCGCACCTTTCCTGACGAGACCAGGAGCCTGATGAGTGAGAAGACTGACTTCACAGGCAACACAGACAGGCAAGCAGTGCTCCACCTGTTTAATATGAGAAATCCAGGGCAAATACTGTAAGCCACACGTTTTAACAAATAACACGCACAGGCTAGCACTTGATCAGGCTTGCAGTTTTTTTTTTTACTTCTTGGAAGAAAAAGTTACAAAAAAAGGTAGAAAACAGTTTTTCCACTTTGAAGATGAGATGCCGAGTTCTCTCTTGATACAGAAGAGGGCACTGGTGCATTCCCCCGTTTCTCCTCCCTGCTGTGAGTTAAGGGAGCACATGGAGGTCAGTGATGGGTACAGTACAACACAGGGGGGCTCAGACAACCAGTGGACTAACCAGTTCATCCAAACACAAACCTAGAGGAAAAACCTCGTCCTTCTAAAGACGGCAGCGGATTTTTATCTCTAATAGTAAAAATATTGTAATAATCACATCTGAATAAGAACACTGACAGCGAGATCAAATAAGGCCATGATGGTTGGATAAAATAAAAAAAAACATCTCAAGTATTTTTATCACAAAGTAGTACAGTTTCTCACTTTTGTAATTGCTAATAATGATCATTTTTATAATAATTACATTTAAAGTAGGAAAACATATCACAGGTTTATTTATAATATCTTCGCAAATGTTTCTAAGAAGAACTTGCTGCTGTCCTTGAACACGCTGTGATACTGCAGCAAAGTGTCAGAAAGAGGCAGAGCACTGTGGGCTGGACGCCCTGCACAACACTGGACACTGAGAGTTCATGTGACCTCTGCTGCTATGCGTCCAAAAGGCTGTGATGCATCTGAAAGCTCAGGTGACCTTTTATACACGCTGCAGCAGAAGCCACCTGAAATAAAAGTTACCCCACATTTTCATATCTTAAGCAAAAATTCTCAAGCTGGTTTTGTGTTGGAAAATCCTTGGTGGCACTGCTGGTTTCTCACAGGGCTGTTCAGAAAATGAAGAGAATTCTGCTGAGGGTAAAGGCTGACCATGAATCTGGAGATTTCAAGGGCTTTGGGATAATGGCAGCTGATGGAGTGGAATTGGGGTAAGTGAGCTGAGTCTATGGCTCCTCTCAGTCTCCTGTCCTGCTGTGTGTATGATAGGATAGGAGACCGAGAATCCCTCTGTTATAGATTTATTACTGAAGGAGCCTTGATCGCCCTTCTCTCTGTTCCCTGTTGGTTTGCAGGGGTTTATCACTCTTTGCTCACCCTCCCTTGTTCCACTGCAGGACAGGATAGAGGAGATGTGAACTGTGCTGCTCATGTCAGATGAAGGATACACTGGTCTATCCCTGTTTGACTACAGGTGTAGAGTAACATCACAAGGGGAAAAAGAAATCTCCAGATCTTTGACAGTCTGCCATTTAAAAAAATCATTTATTTATATACTTTAAAAATTAAAACATTTGCTTTTCATTGCATAGAACCCCCACACACACTTAAACACACACCAACGGCACAGGGTTCTCCAAGCCACATTCAGAAATCCAGGTCACTCGCATTCAGACTACCAGTGTTCAGCAATCAAGAGGAAACACTTTTGTGACTCATATTAGAAAATAAACAGGAAGGAGCTGCAGCTAGAAACGGCCCATAGGCTCTTGGTAGCCTGATGCGAGTGCGGTGTGAAATACCGAGAGCAGACTGTGATGAGGATGAGAAGCTGTGGAAGCTGTGGTAAAGCGCTTCGAGGACAGACAGAAACCGGAGATGATTCCACGGTACAAAGGGAGGGAAGGGTAGAGAGAAGACAGAGGGCAGGCCGACACCAGTGCACTGCCCACTGCCCCCCAGCCAGCCACCCAAGACACACAGGCCCACACCAAGAGAAAAGTAGAAGAATCCACACACTAGCTTTTTATAGTTTGGGTGATGTGTTGAACACTGCTGGTTGTCTGGGTGAACTTTATGCACACAGGCACAAAGTTTTCACACAGCTCTCTCTCTCTCACAAACACAGCATTCATACACCCACAGCTCTATCTCGATTACACACATGAACACAACCTCTCTCTCTCTCACACACACACACTGTTCGCTCTTTGCTGCTCCAAGTTTTTATTTCAAGAGAAATGCTGGCAGGAAATTAAGTGCATCATTCACCAAGGCAGGTAATACATTTTTGGCACAAAACGCAAAAATAAAAGTAACACTAATCTCAATTTTTAATACATTGATCATACCAACAAAATATGCAAAAACAGTTACGTGTCTGGACTGAATGAGGCCACTGGGATTGAAAACAAGAAGAGCAACAGAACAGCAAAAATCACGCACGCACGCACGCACTCACGCACGTCTGTCACCTACAGCAGCTTCTATCCCCTGTGCGTCAGGGTTAGACTGAGTAGAATAACAGAGCAGCCTCCAGGGCCCTAACAGTCAATTTATGCCTTTGAAGGCCACCTTCAGCAGAGTTCACCAAGACACAGCCCACAAACACGACGCTAAGCACAGACAGGCACGAACGCAGGCACTCATACACAGAGCGGCTGAAGATGTGCAGTTTCTCACTCAGCTCTTCACACATGGGTACGTACTGTACAGCCACGCTACCCTTTCAGTTACTGCAGCTACTAGCCACTCACACCTAGGGCCTCCCACCCCACTGCAACATGATTGGGCCACACAGCCTCCAAACTGACTGGACACCCTGTAACCCTTAGCCTTAGATTCTGATTGGTGGGCACTGGTGAGGCTGGTGCCTTACCCTGCATGAAGGGCCTCTAGGTGGAGACAAGCCCACTAGGAGTCCCACTACAGGACTGGTAGCAAGGCAGTGAAGGTTGGGCTCCACCTGTGGAGGAGTGATTGTTCAGTTCCATGAGGCTGTCAGAGGACTGTGTCTGTGGACAGTTTGTGGACAGGCTGTGTGGTGCGGAGGAGTGGGCTGGAGACAGGCGAATGGGACTATGTGCCTGACTCTCCCGCTGCAGATACTGGGGTGCGTGTGTGTGGCAGGGTCTCAGTGTTCCCCTCAGTTGTCTGGGGGTGCGGTGCTGAACAGGCCTCTGGGGTCAGTGCGGGGCAGCTTGGTGGGAGGCTCCAGAGAGTCGACAGGCAGCCCGGAGGAGTCTGAAGGCAGAGACAGCTCCTGCGAGCACTCTTCATCACTCTCCTCCTCCTCCTCCTCTTCCTCCTCTGAGAGAGGGAGATAGGCAGGGAGGGAGAGGAAAAAGAAAAGTAAGAGGTGGTAAAATGAAATTAAAATGAACCAATGAACATCCTCATTACTCTGAGGAATAACTGGCTCCTCTCTGTTAACAGAATATTGAAAATACTCAGATGCATTTATACACAACAGGGCACAATGGTCATTAAAAGTCTATCCAATACAGTAGAGGAAACATCAATATATTACAGAGACCGATCAACTTGATAAACAGAATGATTAATATTTTAAAAAGAAGACTGATCAGTAAATTACAGGACAGAGTGATCATGCACTAATCAATACCTTTATCAGGGTCCAGTGTGTTCAGACTCCTTCCCAGGCTAGCAAACTGAAACAGAAGGAGTTCTGTGCTTCAGTACAGTTACGGGATGTACCAATGTCAGATATAAAAGCAACTGTATGTTAAACCTGTATTCAGGCTCTTCTCTGTGTGAATGTCAATACAGATGGAGGTGCTGCAGTGTTGCAGCTGTATTCAGGCTCTTCTCTGTGTGAATGACAGTACAGGTGTAGGTGTTGTAGTGTTGCAGCTGTATTCAGGTGAATACAGCACTGTATTCAGCTGCAGTACTGTACCTCGCCCATGACAGCAATGGGGGTCTCTCCCTTGGCCTGGGCCACGCGGTGCTCTATCAGGTAGTACATGTACTCGTCGTACAGCAGCCGGATCAGGTGGAAGCTGCCAAAGCTGGCAGCACTGCGCAGGGTCAGGTCCCTGATCACCATGGAGCTGGAGGAAGGCAGGGAGGCCATGCTGTTAATGCTGCCAAGCTCTTTCTACTCAGAGCCCCCCCCTCCCTCCCACTCGGCTGCGTTCTCTCACCTGTAGAATGACCACTTCAGCAGGAAGAGCTTGGCCGCGCGGGGGAAGGCAGGGCTGGCCTGGTATGGCTTAAGCACCTGGGCCACGACCCCATCCAGCCAGGCAGCCCATTGCTCCAGGGAGTTCTGCTGCTGCAGGGTCAGCTTGAAGTCCTGCTCCAGCCGCTGGACCACCCGGTCCTCACAGCGACACACCCAGGACGCCTGCTCCTGCAGAGGGACAGAACATACTGACTACAGGGACAGACAAAGCAACAGGACACACCAACAGGGATGGCTGTACAGAGGGACAAAAGACAGTGAGATAGAAGGACAGACAGAGGAACAGTAATTGGATGGAGAGAGTAACAGTGAGACAGAGGGACAGTCAGAGGAACCATCAGTCATAGAAGCAGCTGGTCAGATGCAGTCGGTCAGAGGAAGAGTCAGACAGTGAGACAAAGGGATAGTCAGAGAAACAGTTGGTCAGATGAGGAGAGGAATAGTCGATCAGATGGACAGAGGAGCATTCAGACAGAGGAATAGTTGGTCAGAGGAACAGTCCTTCAGATGGACATAGAGACAGTGTAACACAGAAACTGGCAGACGGACAGACCTGTACGTTGGCGAAGTCAACACGGTTGAGGTCGCTAAGCATCTGGTTGATCTGTGCAGTATTCTGCAGGACTGCGCGGGCTGCCTGTGCCAGGTGGTTGAGGGATGTGTACCTGCGCAGTGTCTGTGCAAATGCACTGGCAGAGGTCACCTGCAGAGACAAGATGGACCAGGACACAGAGATTAACAGTTTTGTCCATCAGTGGACAATGCAATATATTTCAATCTATGTGTAGCGTATTGAGTGTACTCATACCATGGTGTATACCATGTATTGTATCTTATGGATAGTTGGTTGTGCAGTCAATATATTGTGTATTTGCTGTATGTTGTGAAAGTGGCCTTGCCCAGACCATCTCCACAGGGTGTTAATCACTGCAACGTCAGTCTATTCAGTCTCTACAGTGTGTCTAACCTTGACCCGGACCATCTCCTCAGGGATGTTCATCATGGCAGTGGTCAGCCAGCTCTCCAGGCTCTTGGCGAAGTTTCGGATGGCTTGAGTTAAGGCACCTAGAAGAGTGGAACAGTCAAACCCACAGCGCACACAGTATGGCACAAAGTGTGTTACATAGAGGGTCTACACTGTCATACATGGAACAACTCTATAACTCAGGAACAGGGAGAGGCTAATGGGAAGAAGCAGGTGATCCCGGACTCGCGCTGTGGTGGACTCACTGGGGATGGGTCGCAGCACGTCAGGGATGAGAATCTCCACCAGCCCCTGGTACAGCGTGTTGTCGCATTCCCGGCTCCAGCGCAGCACTGGCTCGTATTTGCACAGCAACACCAAGCACGCCTTGGGCAGCCGCTTCTCCGACTCGTCATGGCTGAGAGAGCAAGAGTGTGAGTGGTCACTGCATACACACCGACACAAGCAACCACTTGGAACTCAAGTGTTCGAAAGCATCTAGGTGTGCAGGTTACTGTGTCAGTGTGTATCACAGTGTTGGGGTAAGTTGGGTCTAGGTGTGCAGGTTACTGTGTCAGTGTGTATCACAGTGTTG